CTACTCTCCTACATATTTAACATAGTGTTCAAAGACTGCACAAATGCTTGTTGAATAGTAATAAGAGTATTAACATTGATTAAGATCTTACTATGCACCAGACAATGTGTTGACTTTTATATACAATCTTCACATTATCATAGGAGATAAAATATAAGAACCTGTATTAGGACAAAGACTGGGGGACATAATGTGTTAGTTAAGGATATTTTGATGGGAAATAACAAAAACTCACTCAAGATCCTTTAAAGTTGGGGGAGGAATGGGAACTTCTTGGAAGGTTATTGGGAGATCGTATGGAAACCAAAGGCAAGAATTGAATATTGGTCTCAGGAGGGACTGTTACCAGGAAAGCTGTTTGAGACATTAGCAAGCAATCTCTCCCTTGCTCTCTTTCCTTGGTCACTTATTGCTGCTTCTCCTCATTCTTGTGACTCCCTCTCTATTGATGCTTAGCTGCCTAGCATGCCTGTGGCACCACCTGATGGCACCACGTGACCACACCCACCCCACAGCACCAACTCAGCCCTCAAGATTGTATCACTGCATTCCAGCAAAGAGCCCAAACTGAGAGTGGCACCTAAGTCCCAAATCGATATTCCAGGGAGACACCCTGATAGGTGCTGATTGGATCAGGTGCTCAAGCCTGGTCTGATCTGCTGGGCCAGGATCCCAGTGTCACCTTACAGACATGGCTGCTTGTGGCTCCTGCTTGTGGATAAGAACAGGCACTTCTCACAGAGAAGTGTGGGCTCAGTAGGCTTGCCAAACTGTGTCAGCTGAAAGTGGCTAAGACTCTGATGACTACGGAGCCAAGAGAACTTGGTGATTAACTGAATGTGGGCCTGAGAAAGAAGGAGGAATGGGAGATGAATGACTCCAAGAGTTCTGTGTTGAAAGACCGTGAGGGCCAAGGGTGGGACCCTTCCCCTGGAGTAGGGGGCAGAGGCTGAGAAGGGCATGAAGAGCTTGTGAAAGAACAACATGAGGAAAAGGCCTCTCGTGTGAAGAAAACAGAACCCTGGCTAAAGTCTCCACTCTAAACCGTGAGTCGGGAGTTGTGGTTGCACAAACTCACCTCTCCCCTTCAAGTTCACAAGCCCACTCTGGGCTCCTCTTCTGACCTCTGCTGGGTGACCAGCTCCACCCCTCCCCAACGTGTGATTTCTCTCTACAGGTTTGTCTAAGGTGTAGCCGTATTCAAGACAGAAGAAACTCCTGCTCCCACCCAAATCTATTACTCTAAGAGGGCAGAGTGTATTATTCTGCCTGTTACTGTACGCCTGGGCCTAGCATGGACAATTACAGATGGGCAATAAATATATATTGAATGTGAGAATAAATGAACATTTTCAAAAAGTTTTTTTACAAAATACCTGGGGAGGAGGAGGGAGACAATCACAGAAAATACAACCAGCATAAAAATAGCTAGAGGTTGTATTCTTAAAATAACTACAGGCACTAGATCTAAAAGTAGGGTGACCAGCTTGTCCTGGCTTGCCTGGGGCTTTGCTGGTTTTTACCCGAAAGTCCCAAGTCCTGGGAAACACCTCAGTTCTGGACAAATGGGGGTGGCAGGTCACCCAGGCTGGTGTCACATTTCAGCTGGTAGGTGTTAACTTATTTCCTATCAAGGGTAGCTAGGTTTGACCAACATGATCCTTTCTAGGCCAAGAAGAAAACTCACATCTCAACTCTCCCTTTCCCGTAAGGGCTTCTCACTCCTTGTCTTTACCTTCTCAGCTGGTAACTGAGATACACCTGGAAATTGTATCATGTTAATGTAAATGGAAGTATGGTGGTTTATATGGCACTCAGTCCCTGCCAAGGTGAACTCCAGAGCAGAATAGGATGCATTATCTTGCTGTATTACAAACGGAATGATATGATGCACATGATGATCTAATGCCTGTCTCTGAATCCAACTTTCTGATAGTAATGGTGTTGTCTAAGTGCCCTGTGAATCATGAGCATGAGTGATCTGGACCTTGTAGTTATGGAAAAATGTACCTTCATTGTCAGCTTATAAATTATCATTTTAAGTCATCAATTCTCTAATGAGTGGGGTGTCTGTATGTCTCCATTTACTTGAGACAGTCTCAGATATGTCTCTTGTCCTGGTTTAATTTCTTTTTTTCTCTTTTTGGAGACAGGGTCTTGCTCTGTTCTCAAGGCTAGAGTACAGTGGCATCATCATAGCTCACTGTACCCTCAAACTCCTGGGCTCAAGTGGTCCTCCCACCTTGGCCTCCCAAAGTGCTAGGATTATAGTTGAGAGCCCCTGTGCCCAGCCCTGGTTTAAATATTAATAGCACTTCCTTTCACTCTCAAAAGAGTCCCAGTATGAAAAAATATGTCCAGGTTTGGCTGATGAATCATATACACATTTAGAGACATAGCTATGTGATTTCCAGAAACTGATCATTCCAGTATGCGTTGATAAATCAAGCTTCTAAATGTTCCAACAGAACACCAAGCTCCAGAAGTGAGGCACTCACAGCTTCTTGCAGACAGCCCTGGTGCCCTGTTCTTTCCTCTCCTCCTTCCCAAATCCCAGCCCTGCTACCTGCCTTCTTCTGTCTCTTAAGTATATGCAATAGCAGATAAAAGTTTACAATGGGTCTCAGAATCCTTTGACAGAAATGTACCAAAATACCAGTCTCTAATATAATTTTCTCTCAATATATAGATGAACTTTTCCTTCTAAAGGAACTACCTTTAGTTTTGTATTCATCTGTGTTTCTCTGTCATTAATAAAATACAGCTTCCTGTTTATTTTGCTGGCAAGGTTAATCTGTTTACTTCTTTTGGGCATTTGGGTTCTTTCATTTTCTATTTTAAAGGCTGATATGACTGGCCTGTGACTAATCTATTATTCAATGAAGTTTTAAAGCCATATGTACAACTCAAACCTAAAGGGACCCAGAGGTCAGTAGAACATTAGAGGGTTAATGGATGCTAGAAGAGGCCAAAGAGGAAGGAGGATTCTGATCCTTCCTTGCTCAGGTGATTCATTCTCTTGGCTTTAGTTACCTGCCTCCAAACAGTTGCCAGGCCCTCGCCACTCCTGGCACCTGCAGTTTCCTGGTCTCTGGTGCCTGCTCCTACGCATTCTGTTCCTTGCATACCTTGAAATATGCTAAGTGCTCCAGACTTGGAAGGAGATTCACGCAGCTGTGCGCTCTGTGTCTTGATGTGATCTTTTTATCCTTGGATGTTATAATAAGAACTACTTTTAAAAAATCTGTTAATTGTGAAATATAAGAACACGGCACACATGGAAACACACTAGAATGGAATGAAATTAAGGGTAGTTCTCTCCTTCTCCCACCCATCTCCTGTTCTCACTACTCAGACAGATATCCACTGCTCAGGTATCTTTTCAGGAAATTGGTAAAAGCACACACACACACACACACACACACACACACACACACACACACACACACACACAGATATCCTCGATATCCTTCCTGAGCTCGACTGTGTACTGAACCAAGCCACTAGAAAGTCACACATGAAGCGGAGGAGGATACAGTGCAATTCTCTCACAAATACAGACTCACGGCTTGTCTCCCTGACTACCACTTCTCCCTGTCCTAATCTACCCATAACATGCCACCAGAGCCATTTTTCTAAAATACTGATTTCCTCATGTCCCTGCCCAAAGAGTCTATGGTGTATCAAATTGTCTACTTCTAAATTTCTCTGCCTAAATTTTAGAGCTTTCCTTTATCTTGATCTATTTTATTCATTCAAATGTCTAATGTTATTAATATT